AAGATGACGGCACATAGAAAGGAAGATGAGGGTAGAACATAAAAATTAAATAAAAAAAAAAAAAATTTAAATAAATGATTAATAAAAAGGTGAAGATAAAAAAATATATAATAAATTAGGTTGATTTATTACATTTTCTTTTAAGAGAACTGTCTAAAATAATTTAAAATGTTACCGCCATTGGTTCACTAAAAATTTGCATACCATAATAAAAAAAAAATACGCCCCAAGCACAATAAAAAAAAAAGTTTCATTGTTAAAATAAAATAATAAAAAGGTGAAAATAAAATAATAAAAAAAAATAACACAATAGCTTAAATTCATTTATTATTATTTCTCATAAAGAGAGAACATAAAAAATTAAATAAAAAAATATAACTTAAATAAATGATTAATAAAAATGTGAATATAAAAAAAAAGATAATACAATAACCTAAGTTCATTTATTATTATTTTACATGAGGAGAGAACATAAAAATTAAATTAAAAAAAAACTTAAATAAATGATTAATAAAAAGGTGAAGATAAAAAAAATATAATAAATTAGGTTGATTTATTACGTTTTCTTTTAAGAGAACAGTCTAAAATAATTAAAAAAATTACAGGCATTGATTCGCTAAAAGTTTTCATACCATAATAAAAAAACGGCCCCAAACTCAGTAAAAACAAAGTTTTATCATCAACAAAAAATTAATTTTAAAGGGGGAAGATAAAATAATAAGAAAAGATAATACAATAAACTAAGTTCATTTATTATGATTTCTTATGTGGGGAGAACATAAAAAGTAAATAATAAAAAATATAAATTAAATATATCTCGCACCATCTACTCTAATAGCTTCATGTCTCGCACCTCTCGCCTGTGGAACTCCCTTCCCTATTCCAGTTTCCCTGAGAGCTACAATCTCCAGCTATTCAGGTGTAATGTCAATCGACATCTCCAGTTGCCTTAATCTATCCACTACCCTCATCCTTTCTTCTATCACTCCTATCTGATCTTGCTCTAAATTTTCTGTAACCCCTTGCGTCCTAGTGGCTTCCCGCCTTGCTTGGGGTGAAATGCTTAAAAAAAAAGAAAAGATTAATAAAAAGGAGAAAATAAAAATGTAGTACCCTACAACGTAACAACTACCCTGGGTACATGGCAGCAGCCCCCAAAACCTGGGATAGGCGGGTACAAGAGGAGGACAACAACACTAAGAAAACAGTCTGCCTGCCTTATGTGAAGGGGTTATCAGAGAAAATAGAAAGGATCTTCGGTCCATATAACATCAGGACAACCTTCAAAAGCTGGACGACACTTCGCAGATATCTCTCCCGAGTAAGACCCCCCTCCCATAGAGGAGAATATGACTAAAGACTGTGTGTACGCTATAGGAAAGAAATATAAAGGGGAGACAGGTCGCCCCCTTAATGTAAGGCTTCAAGAACACCAGAAAGCTGTAACACGAGGGGAAGTGGAAAAATCAGGCGTGGCTGATCACATATGGAGAGAAAAGGGAGATCACCGCCCTCTGTGGGATCAGATTGAAATCATAGACAAAGAACACCATTGGAAAATTCGTAAACTTCAAGAAACAGCACATATGCTAGGCCACAAAAATCTCCTGAGCCGACCAAGCATAGAAATGAATACAATATGGGAACCAGTAATAAGGAGTGCCAGAGAAGAGCGATAATAACAACAAAAAATTGCAATATGAGCTCTGGTAAAAACATGTGATTGATAACAGCAAAAATTGCAATATGAGCACTGATAAAAATGATTGCTGAAGACATTAGGTTTATAATACCCAGAAATTCATACACAGTTGTCCTCAAGAACACGTGGAACAGTGGATAAAGGCGTTAGTTAGACCCAAAGAGTGTGAGTTCAATACCCGGTTAAGGCAGTGGAGAACTTGGAAAGGGGAATTAACAGGAAATAACTGACATCCATTAAACATGGCACGTAGAACTAGAACAGTCTACCTCAGTAAGCGAAATAAAGGATTCAGTTTGGCATTCCAACCACCCGAAGAAGGTCGGAGCGTACAACGGACGAAATGTTGTAATAAATATGGCGACAAAAATGAGGACAATAGTCCGAATAATGTAAATAGTGAAGATAAAAAAAATATAAAATTTATTACATTTTCTTTTAAGAGAACTGTCGAAAATAATTTAAAATGTTACATCCACTAAAAATGAGCATGCCATGATGAAAAAATACACCCAAAACAAAAGAAAAAGCAAAGAGCAAAGGATCATTTGATAATTAGATTACATTTTTTAACCCTTTTAGAATGTGAGAAAAATTGTCTAACACGACAGAGTGAACCAACTTTCCTAGCAGCAGACTTAGCAATTGATTCAATATAATCATTCCACTTCATGTCAGTGGAACACGTTAGTCCAAGAACGTTCAACGTCACACTCCTGGAGGCTAGCATTAGCCATGAGGATGGAAGGCAGGCGTAACGAGTCACTTTTCTCTGGGTTTAGAAGAAGCACCAACAAA